CCTCTGATCTCAGACATCTCATCATAACTAACTGTTCTGGTGAACACAATCCTGCCTGCTGTGCAGAGGGAGAGCTTTGCACTTTTAGAGTAGATATGTTATTAAATTAAAAACAAAACAAAACACCAATCCAGAAGAGCCCAGAGCTATCAAGTGTTCGCCCATTCAGTTGTGAAATGAATGACTAATGGTGGTTAATGAAGCAGTGCTCTGTAAATGCATCCTGCACTTTCTTTTTCCAGTGGCAAAAATTTCATTAGTAATTGATGAAGTCGCACATCCTCCCACTCTGCTTTTACCTCTAGTAGTGAACAAAGTGATGTCTTAAAATGCGTCTGTATTCTCTTGTTCTTCTACTTCAATTTTGTTACTTTTCTCAAGAGCTGAAAAGGAAATAAATGCCCTGGCCACTCATTCTTTAATTCTTCCCTTTATTAAAAAAAATGTTTTGTGTTATCAATGCTTAAAAAACGAATGACAATACTGCTCTCTATATTCATTTGTCTATATGTTCCTGTTATTTGTTGCAGCAGCTGCAGATGCTTAAACCACAACTTCTTTGGTGTCCATAGATCCTCGTGTAATTAGAATGAATTTAGAAGAGAAACACACAAGGGCTGAATATATTCTATATACTGAGTACTCTGGTTATGCATTGGTGTTAACATTTTGCTGCTGATGCTGAACACCAGTTCTTTTCTCCACTCTTCCAAAGCAGATGTCATGTATGTGCTTCCACACCTAGGCAGACCCATCTGTACATACACTGTCCCAGCTGACCTTTCCTCTATCTCCTCTGGTGTCTCCTCTGCTTCCCCTGTTGAAGAGAAACTGTTCTGGTTTTGCTCTGCCTGATGTCAATTGAAACAGCAGCTCCTGTCATTCTCAAGAGGTGCAGGAAGTCATCACAGAACTTACCTCATGCCAATACCGAATGGTGGTTGAATTTATTTCTTGGTATCCTTTTCTTCTTTGCAAAATGGAGGTACAAACACTGTAGGATTTTATTTTTAAATATCTACAGCTGTTGAGATCAATATAGATAAAAAAAAAAGTTACAATTAGTATCCTTTGTACCATGCTCATCTCTGCTTTTGACAGGTTCTGCCTTATAACTGTCTTTTTTCTTATTTATCTCATGGAAGGTGACAATGACTGATGAAAAAGGTGCTGTTCAGAGCAAGAAAACGCCATTTGCTAATCTGTGAGCTGTCAAATCATTTTATTTTTCTTTATTGTCTTAGAGTAAGTTGATAAAGAGACACATGAAGGTATTAGAGACGGTATGAAGCACAACTTCTGAGATCCACACAAGAAAAGGTGGCAAAGAACCATGATGAAATATGAGGGAATGTGATTTTTAGTAATAGGAATGTGTTTTTCCCTCTAGCCTGTCAAGTTGCTCCCTGGAACTGTATCTCTCTGAGGATGCCAAGTGCTAGGAAGCCTGGAGGCATGACCTCCCAGGAGGTACAGCGGAGTAGTAAGGTCAGGGTCATCATCCTCTTGGTCACCTCTCTGGATTTACTCCTCTCAAATCAGCATCATTTAAATCACCTGGAGATTGCTTGGGCAGCCCCTCTGGAGAAGAGATTAGTAGCAAAGCAAGGATAGTTAAGTCATGGTGAAAGAAAGAAGAGAAGAATGCAAGAGAGGGAAGGGACCTCAGTGCTATCACTTTCTGCTTTCCTGGTAAGGGCCTGAAAACACTGGGAAACGAAGGCTTATGCTTTATATCAGTGAAGCAAGCAATGGAAGGCTTGAGAACTGTGTGCTCCGTTTGAAACAATCAAAATCAGCTTTCTGAAAGGCATAGAATTTAAACAAGTAGGAAAGGCTTTGTGATCTGAAGGAGCTCTTGGCAGTGAGCAGAGCTTGTTTGGCTTGCAGGTTGTTGGGTTTTCCTGGACTGGATGCTGGGTTCGGAAGCCTATTTGTGCATTGGTTCTCTCTGTTTGCATCAGAGGTATCTAGGAGTCTGCCTGGGAGCTTACCACCTCTGTATCTTTATGATAAGGTGATTCATAAAAGCAGGGAAAGAGTTTGATGATAGTACCAAACCCCCCAGATGCAACGTGTGCAGTATCAGCACACCTACTACCTGCATCCCAGTCAGATGCCAACAACCACTAGCAGGAGGTTGGACACATGTGGCAATAAAGATGAGGTGGTAAAAGGGGGAGGGCATCCCTGGCTCCTTTTTTTTTAAAGCATTTATAACACCAAGTTGTAGTCAGAGCAGCCCTTGACCTTGGGAAGCTTTCAGCGGACGTAATTAGTGCTGTCATCTCTGCACTGACAGGAGGTGCTGCTATGAGATATGAAGCATATGAGTGCTTCTGCTGTAGCCATCTGCAGGACATGAAAATCTGCTGCCAAATAACCACCCAAACCCTCTGGTTCTGTTCCTTCTGTGTCTTTGTATGGAACAACGCATAACTCAATTTATAGGGAATAATTTAGTTAGTGTAACATTTGTTTCTCTCTTACCATGGAAGAGCGTTTAAATATGAACCTTTTAAATTATCCTAATTAAATGGAGAACATGATATTTTGTCATAAATTAGGTAGGCTAAACTCTCCCTCATCCTCATAATTAAAATATATTGAATTCTGCAGAGTGATAGTACGGGTTGAGATAAACTCTTTTAATTCAGGGAAGTTTGTAAAGATGAAACAGAGACAAAAGCATTTGTTGCAAATTATGTTTGAGCTTTATGATGATACACTTCAAGAAAAAGAGGAATAGTTGCTAGGGAGCAAACTCATGCTTTGGGAATACCATGATGTTAGATGGATGCTCTGGTTCTGCCAGGAGGGCTGAGGGTTTGTAGTTCCAGCACAATTCATTCTTCCAGGAAACATTTCTTATTATTAAAGGTCAAGTTTTTCCTCCTGAAGCATTATATTTCTTAAACACTATGGATATGGTGTCTGTCAGTTGCTAACACTAGTGCAAAGCCAGCAGGATGTGCTGATTTTACACTGCTTTTAGCCTCTCGTGTAAATGATTGCACACATTATTTATGATAGTGAATCAGACACTTTTGCAGGAAGAACATTTGCTCTTCCAGCTTTAGACAATCTTGTTCTTTTTTTTCTGACTTCCTGAGCTTTACTAAATACTGCTTAGCTCTTGTCCTTCAAGATCTCTTGTGGTAATGAGACCTCATTATAGCTTAAAATGGCCCTCTGCTGTTTGCCATCTCTGGGAGAGAGGCGTTAACATCCACCCCCTTCTGACAGAAGCTTCTTGGAGCAACTCTTGGAAAAGTGGGTTATTTTCTGACAAAGCATCATGTGGCATGGGATGAAATGTTTGTTGTCGTGGGTTATGGGAGACGGAACAGTGGAGATGGAAAGTAAGATGGAGTGATCAAAATCTGACTCTTGCTGAGGGTCAAACCTGAGCTTTCAGTCAAATTTTGAATGTGTTGATGAGGCCAGCTGAAAGCAAATACATAATGTGTTCTTACCACCGGTATTAGAGTATACTAAAATAAGTACTAAAAGCTTCTGTTATGCTCTTGGAGCAGCTATGCAGATACCAGAGTTTATCTGTTTTGCAGCTTAGCCCAAGCTATAGTTCCTTACCTGAAGGTCTCATCAATCCTGTATCATTCTTATCTCCTTCTGAGATGCTATGTGGATAACAAGCACTTGGTGCCTCAGTAATAGTGTGTTGGTTGGGTATAGAAAAAGTTCAGGTTGGATATTAGGAAAAAGTTCTTCTCAAGAAGAGCAGTGATGCAGTGGCACAGCTGCCCAGGGAGGTGGTGGGGTCACCATCCCTGGAGGTGTTCCAGAGCCGTGGGGATGTGGCACTGAGGATGTGGTCAGTGTGCATGGTAGGGAGGGATTGATGGTTGGACTTGATGATCTTAGAGGTCTCTTCCAACCTTAATGATTCCATGAAGTGTAGTAATTAACCATCTGAACATCATGCAAGACAGAAAAACAGACTCAGGAGAGCACTTAGGTGCAGGGAGGGAGTACAAAGGTAGAAGGATGGATGTGAAAGCTACTGGGCAAATTTGAGATTTTGTTAGCTTATATTTTTTAGTAAATGCTTTGAAGTAATTTCTGGTGGGTACAATAGCATCATGTGTAGTTTACCTTTGGGAATGCTGGAAACTACTGCAAGTGCAGAAAAGTCAGGCTCTAACAGGTATCTGGTAGAGAGAAAGAGTGGAGCATCAAAATTTGAAATGCCTGAGTTTGGGTCCTTCTCCATCCTCATGCAGTTCAGGCTGTGTGAGATATGCTGTTAAGCTCAGCTTATTTTCTGTTTGAAACTGTTTGCAGTGGTGTCAGGTGCAGGGAAGGAATGAATGTGGGTCACAGCTGTGTCACCATGGAGCAGGAGCTGCTTGGCTGAGCTACAGCCCAGGCTACCAGTGCTGTTACTCCCCAGCCAGAGCTCCCATACAGCTCCAAAATGAGCACTGCTCATTTTGGAATAGTAATTTTTGGCCTCACTAGCATAAAGGTAGCTGAAATGAAGCTGGAGACATCCAGCTGTTCTCAGATGAGTGTACCTATGAACATGTAATAAAGATCTGAGACGTTGGCAGAAAGAAAAATGCCAATTATACAAACACTCAAAGATTGTTTTTCTGTCCTGTGGGATCTAAACTTAGTGCAATAGCACCGTTACATGTATTAGTGTGAGCCCAGGCATCCTTAACTAAAAAATGATTTTTTTTTTTTTAATTAACTGCAGGAAAAACAGCCTCAAGAAATCCTGTTCACTATCTGCCATCAAGAAAAGACTATTAACAATAATTGTTGGGTTTTTAGTTTTCAAAGAACCCATAATTAAATTTATTGTCTCATAAGTGATTAGAATTAATTGCTTCCACATGAGCTCTGGTGCACATTATCTGCTTTGAATTGGGAGTGGTTTTTCTGCAGAATTCCTTCATTTATCACAATCCCTTTCTGTTGTGGTCCTTGCCAGAGTCAAGCTGTTGCTCTAAGGCATTACTAGAAAGTGACCAGTATTGATTTAACGTATCTTCTCCAACAGATCAGGATTAACTGGACAGAATGGCTTCTCCCAGTGTTTAAATAGAAATGTTTTGTTTGACACAGAGGTGATGAAGAAACCCACTGTCACATTGGTTAGATTTTCAGACTCATGCATTAAGACTGAATGACATATCTGAATTCTCTTTTAAAGAGCTTCGTGGTGCTAATCTGAGGAGTAATCCTACATTGAGAGGAGGATGTGTTACACATTTGCTCACGTGCTGTAGTAAATAATGATAGCTGGCTTTAGTTGCTGTTATGCTGGTTTAAGACCACTTTCTCACCAGTTTGCCAGGCTTGGATACGACCTTCTAATCACAAGATGTACGACCTTCATTTCACTGCCTGTGTTCCCTTCTGTAGAGGAGCTGTTAGGTCAGGGCTTGAAGTGATGATGGAACACCTGGTGAAAGGCTGTGGCTGGCCCAGGGGGCACAGGCAAAGTGTTTTCACCTGTGCTCCCCAGCTGGCCAGAAGGGGCAGACCCAGGGGGAAAACACCTTGAGCTCATTTAAGGGCCAGCCATGGAAGGGAGAGCATCTCTTGGAGCTGGGGCTTCTTGAGGAGGAATGCTGCATGGCCACAGAGCTCCTTTACCAATTGGGTGAGTTCAGCTTTTCTTTCTGCATATGAGTATGGGCTTGCCTGTGAGTACTTTGTCTGATGGCACCATGTGCCAGAAGCCATTTTGTTTCTTTGTGAGCAGAACATCCTCCCACCTGGTTACTGTTTGTGTTGGAAGGTGTTAGGGGAAGGAAGTTGCTTTTATCATACATTAGTTCTGTTAAATACTACCTAGGTAGATCAGAGCAGAGACTCAGTCCCCTTGTTCAAGAATTCCTGATCAACATAAAGGCTTCCAAAGGCTGTGCTCAGCAGCAGTGTTCCTGGGGCTCAGCTGAAGGGTAGGGCTCATCATCCTCATGCCTTTTTGTGGGTCACTTCTCAAAACACAAATCCAAAGCCCTTCCTGGCCTTGCATGGTGGAGCTGGTTGGCCTCTCACCTCTATTAACCAGTAGCAACAGGCAGCTGTATAAAATTTATTTACACAGGGTGCCCAATCCAAATCCTTCCCTGATCTACCTGTGTGTGATTCTTCACTGTGAAAAGGTGTTGTAAAGAATGCTTGAATTGCTGGGTGCCCTGTGTGAGGCATCTGGCAAAGGGGGTTGTAGAACTGTGTAAAGTAGAATATTACAGCATTTAATATAATGTGACTTCACTCTCAAACTGTATTTTTAGAGAGTAGAGTGCTTCAGAGAATGGATTTATAATAAGGAGATATTTTCTCTCAATCCAGGACGCTGCTTTTGTGGAAAAATCCTACACAATTTTCATACGCTTGTCATCATAGAAATTACAGAGCATTAGGCTCTTTGTTACAAACATAGAAAGTTTAGCAGACAATGACTTGCTTCCTCTGAATTGTGATAACTTCTGGAATTGAATGAATTTAATTAAATTACGTCCTGCAGAAAGTTATCGCTGTCTATTCAGCTCCAGGACATAGCAGAAGGTATGAGTGATTTGCTCTGTAGAAATGGGAGTTTCAGAGTGTAAGTGGTGTAGTCACAGAGAATTTATGTGGACAGTTTCCAGTCTAGCTGAATTACTTATGTGAAAACATTAATAAAACAGGTTTTATTATGTGTTAATGGCAGCAAGGAGTGCCCTCCATTGTTCGGTGCAGCCACTAATCTGTCTGTAGGGCCTTGCATAAGGACAAGCTTAAGAAAGACAAAGAAGTAATGTTCTCTGGGGAATCCTGCAAGGTTGTACCTGGAACATATATTTACACTTTCTATAATTTAGCAGCACCATGTAATTGCTTTGATCCCTGCTGGAGGGGGTCACAACCTTGAGCTGCTCCACAAGGGATGGAGATCTGCAGTTACCAGGTGTCACATGGAGACAGCACAGCCTTTTTTGCAAAGCAGTAGCTGATGGAGTGTGCATGGCTAGCCCATTGCAGGTGTCAAGAAACAGCTTGGCACCTGCCAGCTTCTTTGATAGATGTCAAAATTAGGACCCAAAGCCCTAGTGATCTGAGCAAGCGTGTCAGTAAGATGGATGCACAGAATACAGAGAGGTCTCTCTTTCTGGCTCTGGGAAGTCTTTTTGAAGATGTGCTATGTGAATGGCTTGCAGCTTGATGGACACAGCCTTTACCAGCTTGCCATAAGTCTATATGCTTGGGTTGTAAATGTTGTGGAGCAGTACTGAATTCATGTGGGGGCTGTTTGTGCTAATGCAGAGTCTCCAATAGCAGTACTCATCCATGGTCCCCTTTAATGTGTTCCTCTCATACTAACAACTCTAATAGAAAGGGAAAGCTGTGATTCAGCAGCTTTGGAAAAAACACATGCTGTTGGGACTTGGCTGTTTTCAAGGCCAACTCAATCCTCCAAGCATCTCTCCCTGGTGACTCCTCTTTTCTGCATCTCCTTCCCACACCCGACTCATTCTGCCCTCTGAGCTCATGGATTGCCAAATGCCATGAGCAAGGATCTATTTTTTTTTTCCCCAGGTCTATCCATTATGTCACCAGCAGCAATTTACCTTCTCTGCAAACCTTGCTGTGGGCAAGTGACTTCTGAAAGTGTGATATGCTGTTCCTTGGGTAAAGCCCAGTAGCTTGGGTGAGGAGGAGGGGTAATGTCTTTGATGACTTCATTGCCTTAAGCAGGTAAAACATCTAAATTCTTACCAGGGAGTTGTTAGCCTGCAACAGGATTCCAGAGTGAAGCTGATTTCCTGGCTGGTTCTCAGGACAAATCCATGCTCCCTCCTCTAGGCTGCGGTGCTGGCATTCCACATGAGGACCTGATGGTCTTACTCCTTTCAATGATTTTTTCTTTTCCCCAGTGTCTCTGTTTGTAAAGAGCGCAAGAAAAGGGAGAAAATATTTAAGTCATCTTCGAAAGATCATTTTTGTTTATGTTTGTGTTAAAAACATAAAGAAGCAAGCTCCTAAAACCAGACTTTTCACAGTAAAATGGGTAGCAAATAGTGCCACTTCAGTAAATGTTGCCATTCATTTTTCAATAAATTACCAATTTATACTTCTGAATGTGGTAATAAAAAGAGATAAAAGGACAGAAGAAGGAGGAAAAACTTGGGAGGTTTATGTTTACTGCCAAGCATTTGGTTTTATGTTTATCTCATGGAAAGTAACTCCGTATATCATGATAATTGACTTCACCAAGTACCTTTAAGAAAAAAAAAGCTACAAAACAACATCTTGTGTGAGAGAAGACTGCATGGTTTTCCACTGAGTAAAACATTCTCCTTTGATTCAATGGCTTAAGCTTTTTGCAGTGTTCCTATTCTGTGGTTCGTTTGCCCAGTTGGTGGCTGAGAACAAGCAAGGTCATGGCACAAATAAAAGCAAAATGTTTATAGCTCTCTTATAACCCCGCACAAATCATCACTTATCTACCATCATTCCAGACTAATTGATTCCTGAGAACTTTATGGAGCGAGAGCATTTTTCCCCCTCGCTTTCTTCCGGCGATTTCCTTGTTACCATTTTAACTGCAGTGATTTGCAAGTAGCTCTTTGCTGCTCCTGCCCAGGGATTTGAACCAGGCTTGGGAGGGGCCACTCGATTTCTCCTTGGCACTTTTGGGGCTAGGAATGAGAATTGTTGAGCAGCCGGGATGCTGAATTTTTCCATCACTCAATGCAACAAAAGCAAAATTCACTGCTGATCTATTTTAGAAACAGCATTTGTGGCAGTTCCTCTCTGAGTCAGTCAGAAGAGCAGAGAATAGGATTGTGGCAGGCAATAAAAAAAAACCCTGCTGCTCCAATAAGGACTTTAATTACTCACCTCGTTACAGGTGAGACCAAGGGAGGCTGGCAGCAATGCCAGCTCCAGCACAGCTGTGGAGGATTTATTTTTCTCAACGATGAGTGAAAAAGGCTGTAAAAATACTGTACAAGGTTGGCTAATAAACTGTATTTTATTAGCCATACTTATTACAAGTGTTTACAGGCTAGTGTGCTGATAGGCATTTTGATGAGGTAATATTCCTTAATTGCAGTCATTCTGGGATTGCAAAACAAAGGGTGGAAAGCCAAAAAGCTGGAAAACATAACACATGCATATGTCAGGTCAGGATTTATAGGCAGCTAGTGAGCAGCTAGCTTGGCAGCAGGTATGTTAAATAGTTACAGCGTTGGCCTCGTCCACTGGTTTGAGGCTTGTTTATAGCAGATTGATAGTGCTGATTGGCAGATGGCTGTGACTGCAAGGAGAGAATGCACGTGCTTTGTCTGGTGGTCTCTGTGGAGCATTTCAGGCCCTTGAGGTCCTATAGCAGACCAGTGAGCTGACAGCATCCCCTTGTTATTTGGCTGCTGTCTTACCTCTGCTTTTCCTTGGTCCACGGCAAATGCAGGCAGTGAGAGGTAAGACCTGGGCAGCTTCCCAGCCCATCACATCAAGCTCCTTGCAAAGACAAGGGTTAATATTGGGTATTTTGAATCTCAGTCCAACACCACCAAGTTCTACCCTGGTTTAACTTGTCTGGGTTTATGACGCAATTTACATCTCCTAATTCCTGCTGGTAAACTGGCTTCTTGCAGATAAGAGCCATTTTCTAGAGTGCTTCCAGCCAGAAACAGCAGTGTGCTTCCTAGAAATGCTGCTTGGGGAGAGGCTGCGATGTCCTCGTGTGTTGGCAGTGTTTCATCTCTGGCTATGATACACCAATAGCAGCACTCTAATCAGAGTAATGACAAACTGGTGGGAAATTAAGATTAATTTGAGAAGAAGCTCTGCGGAAACACCTTTGTGCTTATTATTTTTGGGTATCAGCTTATTGTCTTTTGGTCATACAACTGAAAACATGCTCTGCTTTATAAGCAAAAATGTTCTACTGATTTTTTCTCATTGTGCATCCTCCCTGCCCTCCCTTTTTGCAAACAATTCTGCAAATCTACTCTGAGTTGTTAGGGACCTGCTGTTGTCTTTACTCTTTATTGTCTAACCTCTGGTAGTAAATGTTTTGCAAGCAGGGCTTTTCTACAAGCCCACCAAGGGCTGATGGTTTGTTCAGGTGTGCATGCATAGTGTGCAGGTAAAGCAGTGAGCCAGGCATGCAAAGGCAGTCCTGCAGTTCTGACAGCTAGCAAGGGAAGCAGGTAATGATCAGAGTCACCTAGGATCACATTTTAATGCAGATCAGTGAAAGTTGCACAGCTGCATTACGTATGCAAGTCCTACCTTGCACCAGTGACCTTTTTAGGAGTCTTAATCCCATTCAAATCTTGTTGTCTTGGCGCCTCCCTGCCACAGAGTAAAAAGCAGGTATTCTCTATTCCGATAAAGAATGAAGCTGTGAATATCTATGATGGGGATGAAGTTTCTGAGTTGAAGCCTAGTAAATCCCCTTTGGGAGACTTTCTGTTAATTTCAGGGTTTGATGGAGATCCCAGAGGGCTATTTTTCCCCAGGTATGAAAAGATCACATGGATTTACAGCTTCTCTCCTGGAGCCGACTCTCCTGTTACTGTTTGTGTCTGGGGGGGTAAGAAAAAAAAGCAAGAATATATATATATATATATATATATATATATATATATATATATATTCCTA